TTTATAGCCTCTGCTTCCGCCTTATTAATGGTATGAAAACGGTCAATTAAGCTCTTCAAATAGTAAAGAGGAACAGGCCAAGTTTGTCCAAAACCAAGCTGACGGGCAAAAAATTGGGGAGCATAAATTTCTACCTCCGCTTTGGCATTGGTCCCAGTTAAGATGTCATGGAAAAGCTCCCTCCCAGTTAAGAACTGGATCCAAATGAGCAGAGAGGTGCTCGCGCTATCTAGAGTGGAAGGAGGATGTACATAGTCCAGAGTCAAAAAAGGAGGGAAAGGAAAGAAGGAAGAGATTGAATTTAAAGAATAAAAGAATGAAAAAATGTTCCTTCTGGACATATTTACAGGAGTTAAGGGCTCCATAGCTAGCCCGTAACAGCTAGCAGAAGGACGAGAAATGGATGGAGCACCAAGCGATGGAAAATAGGATCTCAACCACAGTTGAGTGAACCAAAGAGGTCCACTGTCAGTGGGAGATGCACCATTCTTCAATTGAGCCTGAAGAAAAGCCATGCCTCTATAAAGGGCAGTCAAAAACAAAGAACATAAATTCAAAGGCCTGCCATGCGCCAATTCTTGCGCTATAGGTAAATAACTCAGAGAAGGCTTTATACTTGGCGCACACAAAACATATTTACAAAGCCAAACTAAAAGAAAGGTCACTCGCTCAGCATGGGTAGGCTCAGCGCTCGAATGATTGTGGAGGGTCTGCAGGCTTTAATAAGAATCGGTGTAGTTTTTACCGAACTGTGGGGCGCCACCAGAAACTAAGATACCTGGGAAAATGGTATCGCCCAAAGGTGGTAGATTCACCAGGCCCCAACATCCCTTAAGGTAATAGACATGGGGCCGAGGGGGAAAATAAAGGCGTTATACTCAGGAGACCAAAAACTCAAAGCAATCGGAAAGAGCGCTGAATCAAAAGTAGGGGTGCGAATAGAGACTTCTAACAAATCAGAAATCCTAGCGCTATCAAAAAGTGTCTTAGTAGGACCATGGCCCACAAGGCGAGCATGCCACCTACGAAAAGCTACATCAGATTTAGGCCAAGTGCGAATACCTCTTTCGCGAAGTGGCCCCAGCGGCAGAGAGTTTAGAAAAGGAGGGCCATGAGTGCAAGGAAACAGCTGACCCACCGTCGCTTGTTCAACTGCCTCTGCATTGTTAAAGAAAGGACCCAAGTAAAACTCATTACGTCCAATGTCGACGGGCGCGAGAAAACTTGGAATTATGTATGGGCGACTCAGAAGTTTCTGAAAGTCATTAAAACTAAAGGAATCGCTAGCTTGAGATTGTGAAGCAGCCATTGGAGAATGAACGAAGCTTTTCAGGGTTACGTAACAAGGAAGCAAAAGATGAACAGTGAATCGGGAAAGAGATGCAGAAAATATGAGGCGTGGTTTGGTAGCAGTGAAATGGCGTGTTTGGGATTTATAAGGGTTTGTAAAACGACGCACTTTTTCAAGTTATAGAAGGGAACAATGATTGAAATTCTTGGGAATTTCGAACGTCGCTGGAAACGTGAAGTGAATATGGCAAAATTCAATATTTATTATTAATTCTGCCATATTGGGGGGTAATTGTTGACACATAAAAATTCAGCCCAAATCGAATAGCCCAAGGAGTAAAGCCCAATTGGAGGATCCCCAAATCAGATAGCCCAAAGAACGAAGTCCAATCGAACGAATCAAGGTGAAGGCCCAAATAAG